GTTATCTGAGTATCCAAAGCATATCCAAAATGAGCGTACGCATGGGTCAAAGCTGGCGTGAGGCACCGCACATTTTCACGTTAAGTTTGGATTTTATAAATCACAACCTTGGCGTAAAAAGTGGCGTACGCAAGTTTCTGGGCTCAAATTGTGCGTACGCCAGTTTTATAAATCTGACCCCTGGGCTCAAATTGTGCGTACGCCAGTTTTATAAATCCGACCCCAGAAAACGGATGGGCGGACAATTTATATTGTTAGTCTAAATTATTACATTTAAAACTGTAACTCTAATTCAAGCAGAATAGCCTATTGTCAACATAATCATAGAGTGTGATTTATTTTCAACTCAAAATATCTTCAAACTAATGAAATATAAAGTTGAAGAAAACCTGTCTGGATAACAGCAGACTGACTGCTCGTAAAATATACAACAGGTCTGGACCACTCATGAATTTTGTTTGTATCTGAAAAAAATCTTAGAATACAAAAAAATTGGTGAATGCCACAAATTCTCCTAAATCACTCGTACGCACAACTTAAGAACAAATCTGTTCGTACGAATGGTTCTTGCATGAGGCCCAATGTTTTTATGAAATTATCAGTCACCACATCATCGTGCTCCCTTTGAGAGGACTCTGGCTGTTCAAAGTGGACCGGACTAAACCTTGACGAGGTGGAGGGATACGGCTGGATGTGAGCTGGTGGAGCTGATCTAGGTTCATCCTGAGGAGGTGAAGAGTCTGCAGAGAAAATAAAGTATACAGTGGGTATCTGGTTAAAACAAACAGGCTGACTCTGACTCAGAACAAAGAATATTATGTTAAATGTCAATATCTATCCTCTCATAAGACACCTGCATAACTTCTGCTTTGGGCAGATTTCAAAAAGTGGTGTATCGTGTCTTGAGCATAATAAAGTATTTATACAAAAAAAGCTGAATATTTCACCTGATTAATGACGAAGATCTTAAAGGAACAGGGAAGACGATTAAATTAGTCCAGTCTGACAGTAAGATGATGACAAACATTTCAGGTTGCAAAACTCATTAAACTTGGGGAGCAGATGGACGAGCAGAGAACCATGCAAGAACAAGCTTAAATATAATGAGATCCAGCTTCAGCAGCCATGTGTTTGAGCAGAACTGCTGCTTTATATAGAAAATCCTGACTTTTGTTCCAACACGATGGCAGGATGTAAATTTGGCACAGACGACAGTAAACCATATATTTATCCGAGCTAACGTCTTGGAAGCTTTGCGTTGCGCTCTGGTCACAACAAAGAGTTTTGGGACCTGGTTAGTACCGGTGACCTCTTCTATAAAAATGAGGTGTTGAGCTGATCTTTGTCCTGTCATGAGATTAAATCTAAACATCAAGTAACAAGTAGCCTTTTTTTCTCTTGGTCCTTATTTCAAGTAGGTAAAACAATAAAACTAATCAATAATTATTGACATGAACTGATTTGAAACACTTATTACACTACCAGTCGTGTTACAGACCATGCTGTTCATCAAACGGGGGCTGCTCTGGTCGTCCCTCTGTAGACTGGAACATGGTGAGAGCCTCCATGTTGAGGGCACAAACACCCCTCATGAAGGCTTTCTTCATCGACTCCTCGCAKCGCTCTCGCTCTACTCGCAGCCTCTGGATCTCTGCCTGAGCTTTCGCTAGAGCCTTGCCGTGCTGTGGATCAGGCAGCAAAGCATGGAGAGAATACTGGTCATCAGTTTGAATCACAGCATATTTGTAATATTTTCTAAGGTTTGATATCTGGGAAGCACCTTAGATAGATAAACAACACTTAAAGAATAAATTCAGCAGATCCAAYACACACAGCTTTTTATTTAAAGGTAATTTAGTCACTTTGCTGTATTTACCTCCTCTAGCTTAGTCTCATACTCTGTAGATAGACAGGCGCAGACCTCTTCAGCTTTTAATTGACAAGCTCGCTCAACCTTAACYTTCCAGTGTTTCTGAATGAGACTGTGCCAGCCTAACCACACTTTCTTCTTCAGCTGCAAATTGTAGTGCTGCCGCGCTGCCTGAAAAGCACGAGCCTGTTGGGGGGAAAACACAAAAAATCATTAAAAAAAACATTACAAAAGTAAACTTTAATAAAGAAAAACTTGTTGGAATCAGAATTTATACTTCTTCTTTGGCCTCTGCATGCTGAAGTCTCCATTTAGTGAAGGCTCTCATCTTTTCAAGCTTTTCTTTCTGTTTGTCCAACACTTGGCTCAGGTTCATGATCACCTGCAGGAGGAAACATCAAACAATACACGTACCACYAACATCATTTACAATATACGTATTGAACTGATAAACCAATATTTACTGTGGTTATAGGTTCTTGTATTATTAGAAATTTTAACTTAAACTCAGTCACATCAATTTGATTTTTTTCATTACAGCCATTSCAAGATGATCACAAAAATGCAAAATAAGCATCTGATAAATAATAAATATATTAAGCAAATTTCAATAGGACATAAACTGAAATAGACCTTTTACTACATCTGTGCAAAAAATGTTTAATGCAAAAAAAAAAAAGAATATGATGCAACATATAAGCCCTCATTATAGCTCTTTGGTGTTTTAGCCCATTTTTTTTCTCTTTTCAGTTTTAATCCGTGTTTACTGCCCGTGTTATGATGTGCTACAGAAATCAAATTACTACACATACCTCGTCTTTCCTCTGGTTGGAAGTCTCGTAGGTGTGTAGCAGCTCCTTAAGGGCATCTTGTTCTGACTTCAGGCCAGCTGTCTGGGCTGCATGCCTTTCCCTCTCCTTCATCATCTCCAGCTTGTGTTGCTCCATGAAGGCGTATTTCCACTTGCGTAGCTCCGTCAGCACATTTGACTACAAAGGAAACAGACTTGGAAAGTCGCAGGACGTTTTGCTTTACTGTTTTTATAGCGGACATAAACCCAAACCTTTTTAATGAGGTGTGTAAACCAGACTGCTGCTGACAGAAACAGCTAAATTCAGGCAGCGTGCAGATTTCCTCTCCAGTCTGTTCCACTATTATTTTGGTTTTGCAACCGAATGCTTACATGGTCAAAGTCAAACAGCCTTTATCTCCAAAAGTAAATTGAATTTAAAAGTCAAGCAGCTGATTTTGCGGACTTCCCCAACTCATTCCATAATCACAAGATCTAAGGAGGAGTATTTACAGTTTTCCTCCCTAAAAGCTCTGCTTCTCTCTGCCTTTTCTCAAGTCAAATTCTTGCCTTTTTTTAATCAATGCCGACGGGTTATCTACTTTCCGTGAATGAGATGTACAACAGCAGAAGAAAAAGGGCAGGATGGACACGCACAACATCAATGACCTCCAGAATAATTCCACTGGAAGGCACACATTTAAAAAGGTCACCACTTCCAGGACACGCACAGCTGTCATCAATTAAATGGATTCTTAAAGGGCCTATATCATGTGTTTCTCAGGCATATATTTAAATTCTATACCATAATAAAGTATCTATGTCACCTTTACTTGTTATTAAAATGTTGTTTATATGTTTAAATAGAAAATAAACAATTTCTCATCATATTTGTTTCTAAACGCCTTGAAATTGGCCTCTGTCTCTTTAAGAACCACCTTCAGCTTCTGTCCCGCCCATTTCAGCACAGGCGGGTGTGTGTGCTCTGTGATGAGGAAGCTCAGCTTGGAGACACAGCCCAGAGGAGGAGTTGATCCTAAAAGGTGGTTCTAGTCCCAACCGGTGGTTTTTGCTCCCCTGCCTGGCTGCCTCAGGACACTACAGGATTTCTCAAAYGTGCRTGAATGAGTCAAAACAAGACTCTGGGCATGTTTTGATGAGAGTATAACATTATAACATGATATAAAACTCAAAAAAGTTGATTTTACATGATATTGCCCCTTTAAGACTTAGTTCCTTCACAAGCTCTGATCTTGTTATAACCCTCAGGTTTTAGTTAGAACAACTCTAAATGTAAATAAAATAAAAATCAATAATATCATATTGATTGATTTTACAGTTTTATAAAATAACAGCCTGGTGATAGACGAATTAAAGATATTTTTTGAAAGTTATTTTATTAACACTGAAGACAAATCCAAAATTGCCTTTAAATGATCCAAACTCATATTGGGGCCTGTTTTGCTGTTACCCACTCATGAAAAACTAACATCTCCTAATAAACTGTGTTTAAAGGGGCAATATTATGTGCTTTCCAAGCCTATATTTCAATTTTATACTAAAATAAAGTAACTATGTCACATTTTCAGCTTATGAAAGAGCTATATATTGTAAAAATCCTCAAAACAATTTACTTCTCATCTTGACAGTTTCTAAACCTCTTGAAATAGGTCTCTTGTCTCTTTAAGAAAATCCAACTACTTCGGTCACGTCCATTTCAGCACGTAGCCTGCCGGAGTTGCGGAGCAGGTGGGKGGGGGGGCTCTGCCATAAGGAAGCTTGGCTTAAAGACGCATCTCAGAGGAGGAGCTTGTCCCAAAAGGACACAACCCAGAGGCGTTTCTGGTACCAAAAGGCATTTCTGGTCCCCACCTGTTGTTTTGCTCCTCAGCATGGCTTCCTAAAAACGCTGCAGGATTTCTCAGACATGCATGAATGAGTCAGAGCAAGGCTTTGGGCATGTTTTTTTATGACAGTATAACATTATAACATGATATAAAACTAAAAAAAAAGTTGATTTTACATGATATTGCCCCTTTAAGTCTTATAAAACCACTGAACGTTGTAGCTTAGTTTTCAAACTAGTATTTACTGAGTGTGAAAGGATTTTTATGGTGTCAGAAAGTAAACTAACCTTCAGGTTGCTACTCCATGTATCCAGAATGTTGTCCATTTTACTAATGTTCTCCTGTGAAATAAACATCTCTGTCACAGCAGGCTCCGGGGGGTCTAGGCTGTCCAACCTCTCAAATGGCACCTGGATATTTTTTGAGGGTGCGTCTGAGAGAGCTGACGCCCTGCTGGACGACTGACCTGCCTTTCTGTCAGCTACAAGGCAGAAAACACAAATGGAGCACGTGAAACCACACTTTATTATTACGGTCTGAGCCATGTATTTCTGAGCCTCGTCAGTATAAAGGAGAACGAATATGAAACTGATCGCTTTTTCTTTGTGTTTTATTGCTTTTACCGGTGGAAGCTCTTGAAGGTGCGGCAATTAAAGGGGAAGCCTGTGATGATCTGACACTCTTGCTGGAATGCCTCCCATCTTTAGCCTCCGTTGTAGATTCTGTCAAGAGTTAAACATAGATAAAACACAAATACTGTCAAAATAAACCTGGAATCAAATGATTAAAAAAGGTGAGAGTAAAAATCAGAAAACAGAAGACAGGTTAAGACTAGAATACTATGTGCTGAATAAGATGCTTCTTGTCCAAGAATGCATTTGTGTCAATATCTTAATTAAATTCTGCGGGGAGGAGAGGAGAAAGCCTGCACTCTAAAGATCACTGTGGGCACAGTTCCAGGAGATCATTACCAATCAGCCTGTCTGCTCTCTACATCCCTGTGCGCAGCTCCACGACAGTTAAAGCACTAAACCTTCAATGAGAGCAGAAACAGAGGGGAGGGGGAGGTGTCTGATGGACTGTTTAAGAAGGGAGGAAGAGACAGGGGGTGCAACGGGGCAGACGGATATCTAGTCTGYTACTGCAGATAAGCTGGAAATCTGAAAACACAAAGCTGATGAACAGACACTAAACTTCATGCATGTTGAGATGACAAATCTCCTTTAAAAGTTTTATTTTATTTTTTAACCTTTATTTAACCAGGCAAATCCCACTGAGATCACAGTCTCTTTTGCAAGAGAGGCTTGGGGTGGGATTGATAAAGCTTGTACAAAATGAGCCCAGAAACTTGCGTACGCCACTTTTCACRCAAAGGTTGTGATTTATAAAATCCAAACTTGATGTGAAAATGTGCGGTGCCTCACGCCAGCTCTGACCCATGCGTACTCTCATTTTGGAGACGGGAAGCTGCGACACAGATGGTGAAGTGAGGAATTAGAGCCACACTGTGTAATGATCACTGTCAGATATTTAATTTACCTTCATAATCAAACTTTGGTTTTTATTCAGCGTTATCATCAGCTTTCTTAACGGTATTATTTATGCTTCTGCTGCTGAACCATGAGGACCTTTGAAATAAAAAACTTAAATCTTAAATAAAAGTTCACACATCTCCATTCATCTCCTTTCTCCTAAGACGACCCCGACCCACAGACCCTTCCCCGACAAGAGACATTTCAACAGCACAACAGCAAAAGCCACGCAGGGTGCGTTCACCCTCGCCAGCGTGAATGTGTTATAAAACTTCACTTTTTAAAGTCCGTAGTTTTCGCGCGTGCAGGGCTGTGGGGATGTAAGGGGGTGAGGAGACGATCAGCAGCAGATAACAGCAGGCAGGATGGGGAGGACAGGAGAAGAGCGGTGAACTTATTTCTAACTTTATGTGACTTATTTAATTTTATTGATTGTTTTGTCCTGCAGGCTCTGAGAGAAAATAAATTTGAAGCTGAGTTTTTGAAAAAAAATTGTTAGATTGCTCTAAACGTCTGTAAACCTGCAAAATGATGGAAAATCTGTGTCAATTACAGACATTCTGTTCACGTGAGCAGTTGTTGTGAGCAGTTGACCTGTCATCCTCCAGACGCACGAYGCAGCGTGTCTGAGCCAATCGCTTCTTTTGACATTGATCAACTGACTGATTTAAATACATCTTAACATTAATGAGGTACTTTGCACTGACTGTTTATAGTTCAGTGTGGGCGTGTAGAGGGCAGAACCTGAGGCGGGACCTCGTGCGCAAACTCTGAGGTGTGGCTGTGGTCTAAAAAGGAAAGGTGCAGAAATGTGCGTACGCAAGRTTTTATAAATCTGAATTTTTTTCTTTGGCGTACTCCATTTTCACCTTTTGGCCGTAGGTTCACTTTTAGTATGGTTTCCACGCAATCCTTWATAAATCTGACCTCTGGACCTGAAGGGAGTTTATGGACTGTGGGAGGAAATCAAGAGTACCTGGAGAAAACCAATGAGGAGAACATACAAACTTCACAGAGAAAGACCCCAGGTTCAAACCAGGGTTTGAATCCAGGACCTTCTTGCTGCGAGGCAAAAATGCTAACGACTATTAAGTTGTCGTGCAGCCATGTTTTTTTAGGAAATGATTGAAAAAGTGTGCATTTATAGATGTGTCTTGCACTCAAAGCCAACTTACCCAGTTGATGCTGTAACTTGGTTTTATCTTTACTCTGAGAAATCAGACCTTTCGACCGACCACTGGCAAATGTCTCAAGCTTRGGGGTGACAACAGCATGGTGGAGGAGCTCCTCATACTCATCCTGCAAACAAACACAGACGAACAATGTCCTGAACAACTTTTCTGTAAGAACACTGTACGTARCATTACTTTTCACAGATTTGAACTGTGACTGCTTTCACATTAAGGTTGTTTATATTTACCTGCAGCTCAGACGAGACAGAGCTTCCCCGGTCCGAGTCTTTGGGCAGAACTGGACTGGTTGGTTGTTCTCCGTCTGAGGACATCTAAGTGCAAACAAACATAAAGCAGTGGCAGCAGCTGTGATTGAAAACATGTTGAGCTAACAATGTCAGATTAGACTGAATCACACAGGATTTATATGTCCGTGACACATACATGCATCATACATGACAGGGTCTGCTTGGATTTAAGGCACTATACAAACATATTCACACCGAAGAACTAAACTTTTTATTCACTACAGTTAATCATGAAAACGTGCTAACATTTCTAAATAAGTTGGATAGTTCAATCTACAACGGCACAAAACGGATCTTAAAAGTTGTTTGATATAATTTAACACAAATAAAAAAATTAGCAGTAGCTTACTTGTGCTTTAAAACAAAAAGACGAAAAAATGCATTCAAACTGTGTTTTAGCTTAAGTTGTTTTCTTGACTCGTACACCTTTACTGACTCTTTTAGCTAGCTAATGTTTGCAGACCAAAGTTCGCCACAGTTTATCGTAATAAAAACACCTAAATAAACAGTTTGAAGCAAGAAGGCCTGCACACAAAAATACATGCAACACACTCACTTGTTTATGTGTTCGTAAAAGGGAACACCGTTCTTTCGATATAGGTCGTCAGTTGGAAAGTGCTTGCTTTGCTGTTTCAAACAGGCTTACGCACAAACAACGCGTCTTCTGATTGGCTATTACTTCCACAGCTTTCAGTAAAACGTCCCTGATTGGTTCACCTATTTCTATGGCAACGACAAGCGGAACAACGCTCTGTCTGCTAGAATAAAAGAAAAACCGCATGTTTACACCATTCATGTGAATTTGGATGTATAATTGTTTAATTTACCTTAAATTTGACCGTCTATGGAAGCATAATATAATGGCACCGCGTGTTAGTAAGTAAAATATCCCCCACCCCGACCCAAAT